CTACACCATTGCAGAGTTGTCTCTGGTGTTGTGAAGGCCGAGATGAAACAGACGGCTGAATTGGAGACGCTCAAGGAACGGGTTGATGACGGCAAGTTATCAGATTTTTTTCGAAAGCTCTTGTGAACGCTGCTCCCACCTACCACCATAATGCACTAGAAAACCGCAAACGAGCAATAGTGTCGTGGGGAAAGCCCTCACCATGGACGCTGGGATAAATACGGGAATGAATACAAATAGTAAAGTAGCTTAGTAAAGTAGCTGAAAAAGTTATTGTGGAAAATTAAAAAAAAATTCAAAATCGAATTCAAGCTTAGGTTACCCCTGGAAGCAAGCTCTTGGTTGGCTATACAGAATCCACGAAGATGAAGCGAATTCTTTTTTCTTAAGGAAGCGCGAAATCTCAGAAATGACCTATGGTTGAGAAGGAGGGTCACCTGAGGTTAATCATGTGCTCACTAGGCCCCGCAGTAGTGCCGTCAAAATGCAGTAACTTGTCCCTAAAGTCCGATCCGTGCTTCTCTGCACAATTCCTGCCCTAATGCGATTGTTATCCTTACCACGAATACCTCACATAGTAACATACGTTGAATGGAAGAGCCTATAGAAAACCCCATGTGAAGCTGTGGCTGTTTAGCCCTGGGCTTGAATGGTGGGGTGACGGTGATACAATAAAAGGTTAAGCTTTCGGGTCGCTCAGGCTTTCTTTGTGTGCGCCACGCTCTCTACGTTCTTCAGTGTCGTAGTGGCATTTGAATGTGGTATTGCGCATACTATTACTTTTGGGTTCAGCCGATAGGTCTGCGTGTTTACCCTCCTGTATCCCACTAGGGAACTGGTGAGAAAGAAGGCTTGGTTGACCTGGGCGAGGTTCTTTACGGAATTTGGTTCCTAGGCCGTGCCCGTGGGAAGCAGCTCCAAGTGCCACTTTACTCACACCACCTCGTCCCGATACAGTATAATACTGAGAAAGTGCGGTTAAGAGTAATCGATATGATTCAGTGGGTGTTCAGGTGAACGACGTCTAGACGACAAACACGTGCTTAGACGACATAAATACGTGGTCGTTATCGGTACCGTCATCGGCGTCTACTCAGCTTATCTGACTGCTTACGCCACTATACAAGTATTACAGCTCGTCAATATCAGCGAGTAAGTTTGAGCTACTCTCTTTGGATTTGAAAATGTATCATGGATTTAGAATGCCATGCGGAAGCCTCCCATATATCGCCTTCAACTAGATTTTCGACCCTGGTTCCGATTTACGGTTTTCGAATATGGCATTAACAATGGGGAACCCATAATTTTACCACTGTTTCGAAGAACGTTTTAGTTTCTACCAAAATGTTTAGGCCAATCTATAGGCCAGAGATACTCAGAACTTTAGGTATGACAGTTCAAGGGCGAGTTGCCCCGACAGTGGTAAAGAAAACATAATAGTATCGCCGACCTGTCTCCCTTGCCTTTAAAGGAGGATTTTACGATTAGAATGGAGGTCGAGGAAGAAGTAATTCACCTAGTTGAGTAACCCACGGACCTCCTGAGGGTGCGAACTGATGCGCAATTCGCATCGAAAAATTTGACCTCGGCGACCTATTATGCCTCAAAGTTGGCGGGTCTGGCGATCTCCGCCCACCGACCAGCTGATCACTCGCCGCAGATCTATACGTGGGATTGATTAGATAGCAGAGAGAGCGTGTGTTGAGGAGGGCACAGCGATAAGAGTCGCATCAATGCTCAAATCAACGGGCAAGGAAGGGGTCCCATTTCTCGGGTTCTGGGCCGTTTCTCATGGTTCTTCCTTCTTTCGTGTACCACTCACCATCCCTAGGTTAATTTGAAATGGGTTGCTTTTTCATCGTGAATTCGTCCTTTAAAGATGAACTTAGATTGAACAATTCGTATAGCGTTCAGTGGTCGCGTGCGGCTACCAGCCGATGACCAACGCGTTGCGGATTGCTCGATTCGCAAAGTCTGACATCGGTCTTACAATGGACGTGTGTTGGAGTGTTGACATGCGTGTTCGGATGAGTTTTCCCAACTACTGGCTCCATGCAATGATTTGATGCGGCCACCTACTCACTCCACCCAATTGTTGTCAATGTAGCTATAAATGTGCAGCGAAAAATACAGAAAAACTGGCAGCCATAAATTAGTCCAGCTCTCGTGACCTGAAAAAAAGCTGAGGTCTAATTCTTTACTCGCGCAATCTGGGTGCGAATGGGTCAGTGGTCTTGTGCTGTGCAACCTTTTCAACGCCCACGCTTTCTTCTTCGTGGGCTCGTCAACCGCTTAATAAAATAGCTTCTTAGTTCTTATTTTCAGTTTTTTTTTTGCGACCGCTCTTTCTTTAAACTTTCATGACGGTTCACGTCACATCTGATTCCGTTTTTGAGCTCATCATCAACACCCAGGCAATCGTGAGATGTGCGATTTTTCACCAATGGGGAGCACAACAAAGAAATGAAGCGAATTGGGTGCCTAATTTCAAGGCATGCCCCGGGACCGAATTGTGTTGTGTTGCACACGCTTGCGAATGTACTAGGTGCGAAATGGGCCGACAGTGAAGGAAAAAAGCGAAAGAAATCCGTCGAGAACGGTTAGGTTAGGGTCACTCACACTTCGTAACGCGGCTGTGCTTGGACAATGAGAGACTAAGCGCGGAGAGGAGAGTATGAGGCGAGAAGAGTGCTACAGGAGAGGCCAGACAACAGCCTGATAAAAGAAAAAAGTTGCAGCTGCAGCAGCGTACGTTGCGAATCCTAGCGCTCCAGCCGGCCGATTTCCGTGCATGGAAATGCCAAATCTGTGATTGTCCTCTAGGGGTCTATTCTACAGATCGGAAAGAATCTTTCACTCGACTTGATCTGATTTGGTTGGCTTGGTTTTTACTGGGCTGTGCCTTTAAGGTGGGCTGTCGAACTTTTCCAACTGACAGTTGAAACTGATAACGCGAACGTTGTTTGGTTGTAGGCGTATTGTACGCAGCGCTTTTATTGGATAATTCTGATCACATATTTTGCCATCCAGTCAGACACCACAAATTGTTTGGTTTATTCCAGGAACTCAAGTCGATTCCGCCGACGAGAAACCGTCTATTTAAAATATATCTGCTACTTATGCATTTCACTTCATTCCCTTCTTCAACCGCTCTGCTATCTTCGCATGAGAGAATTCAGACAATCAATAAGAAGGTGAGCATTTCTTCAAATGTTTTATTTATTTACATTTATTATAACATAATCACATGATCATTGCACATGTCATAGTCGAGAGAAGATTTCTATATTTCAACACGAATACTGTAGCACTTACAGTACACTTACTAATTTAAAGGGCGCTTTGTGGTCGATCAAATCGTGAACAAATCACAAACGAACACTACTACACGACGAACACCACGAAAGAGATGATCGTTGGGAAGCAGTTTGTCTGATCTCCAAGAAAGAAGCAAAGAAGAAAAACATTTGATTTCTACTATTTGCACAATAAATATCAGGACCATTGAGCATGTCGTGCTTGTGATTATCGATTTATCGATCGACTAATACCGTAGCGGTGGGCGAGTCAGATCTTTTGGCCCATGCGCTCCCACGGGTCGAATTCAGCGCCCTTGCGTCGAGCGTCACCGCTGGTCACTTTGTAGGCCTTCTTCTTCTTTTTCAAGCCAATCAGCCTTCCTTCACTGGTCTTGGTACGAACTGTTTGACCTAAATATGCCGAATCTGTTAAGTGCGCAACAATGAGGCGGGCTTGTTGTTGGTTTTTTTCTTACACAGAACTCCAATTTTTATGGTAAGTTGTACGGTTTGATGACTGTATGGTTTACTTTTACAATTTCACTGAAGCTAATTGGGAAGTTGCTGCTAAGCCACGAATCAGTCCAAGCCAGAAGAGACATTTGCTTTGCGATACATCCCCTTGTCGTCACTAACCATGTTGTATCAGAATGGTGGAATCTGCTTCGCTCTGGGGACTATAGCCTGGTCTGACCTGATCCGGGAAAGCGATCGGTGGCCGGTCTGGACCTGCTATGCTCTCCCATCGAAGGCAACCCGCACGAGTTATTGTTCTATGTGACCGCCACACGACATTTCGGGTGCTCGGTTAGAAGAAGGCTGCCCTCGTCGGGAAGCGGTAGAGGCTTCGACAAAGAAATCTCCATGATTGATCAGCAATCAAAAGAGTGCAACAGTCGCTGATACTTTACCTAGCGTGGTTTGAAATGCGCTAGCTGCTGATGAGCACGTGATCGTTCTACGACTGACCACTTGCAGAGGAGGCATCAGTGTGACTGTATCGATCCAAGGGGTTTGAAAAAATGTTGAGATTTAGCAAACGTGGTTTGGTCCACGGTCTGCCCAAACGATTCGTTGACTCAGCCACTGGGAACTTCTTCCCTGTTTTGGCTCTGTGACAGACCAGATCTCCTGTAATCAACGCTTAAAGCTAATAAGAAAACTCCAACTAATATGTATGCTCAAAATTGAATGAATATGCCCCATTGCGACAACCGAGATCACATGTTTCGAAAATAACACGCTCTAGATTTGTAATTGTGAATAGGAGGCTTTCCGAATGGAGCTGATTACTCTAGATCTGGTAGGCTTCACAACTTGCCTCTTAAATCTAGGGAGACGTGCGTTTCTCCTCCTGGGGTCAGGTCACCACAGTTGCGCGATCATTGAAGCTTAAGGTTAAGTTTGGGTTTAGACTTAGGTTAAGGCTTATGCTTACACATTGGCTTATGCCTAAGCCTATGATTGGGCCTAGGCTTAGTCCTAAGCTTGCTCCGAGCGAATGAACGGCGTCTCAATTTTGGTGACCTGACCCCAGGAGGAGAAACGCTACGCACCCAAATCCGACCGCAGCACGGCATCGACTCTGCTGTGAATCGCTTGGTAGTTTCTACATTTCCCATTCCCCTCTCGAAGTAGAATAAAAATTCATAAAAAGACTGACCAACATGGATGTGAGCGGTGCGGCTTAAGGGCACCAACCTAAATGGAGGTCGGGTAACCTGCAGAGATTTCCCATACTGGAATTGATTCTGGAAAAAAATCGAGTGAATATCTAATAAAATCAAGGATTTCTCTCAAATCGCAGGAAACTCACCTTTGGCATATCAATCATGGCTACTCTTGGACTCTTCTCTATCATTTCCTTCGGTAAATTGATCGTGGCCACCTTTGGATGCTTGGGAATGTTTTGGAGAAGCTGAAAATCATTCTTTTCATCCTCTAATTGTGCTCAAAGGAACTGTTTCTCGAGTGACTGTGGTCGACAGTGGCATATGAGGCTCACTTCATCTCTGACCTTATCCTCTTCTTTCAGTCTGGCGATTAGCTGTTCCACGCTCAATTCGGCTTTGTTACTGTTCACCTCCAACTCTTTTCGCTTCGGTGTTTTGGCTACAGCGATCTTCTGAAAAAGAAAACCTTGAGCTGATGGATTTGAAGCGCGCTAACTATCGCCCATTTTATTACCGTACCCATCCTGTTCTCTTTCGTGGAGCCGATCCTGTGTGTATATATTTGGACAGGTCCTTCCACTCCGTCGTAGAAGTGGTAGCAGTAGTAGTCGTAGTAGTTGAAGTGGTAGAAGTGGTAGAAGTTGTAGGCCTAGTAGTGGTAGGGGGTTCTGTGCGCGTTGTGGTAGTACCAGTGGTCGTGCTTCCGAGTGGTGGGATAATTGCGGCGTCGAAGTCTATTCGGCTAGGAATCGGTGTCTCGTTAGGTTCGCCGTGGATCGGGGGCTCCGCGCTCGAAGTCTAAAAATCGCTCGTTACTGAAGATTTATGAGAAATGCAGAAGTGAAGCAATTATTGAGATGTAAACTCTCCAATTAGACTATTTTTGCTAGTTTTGTTGACAGCCGCTATTTGACTGTCTTTTCAATATTTGATCCTACCCCATGGCGTGACGCTTGTGCAATCCTCCTGCTTCTGATCGCTCAAAATATCACCGCAAAATTGGCAGCATTTGCTGCGAAATGGTGGCCATTCTTGGACAACATCGATGTTAGGAAGTTTAAGCTCGACTGAGTTAAAGGCAAACTCCGGGATAAAACGAGGGACTTACCAGTTCAACTATGAAGTACTGGGTGCTAAGTGAATCGAAGCTGAAGAAAAAAGCAGAAATAAGAAAGTTCTCTTTGTTAGTCGCTTAGGAGCCAGGGCTAGGAGAATTACGTGTCTGGACGTGTCTACAACAACTGTTGGCCTTATGCCAGCAACCGATACGGCTGCAAAAAGTCAGCAATGAAAACTGATTGCTCCTAATTTGCCTGCCTTAAATACATTTTTTTAAAACCTGCGCGCTTCACGAGCGCTCCAGTCGCTGTCAGAGTTAGCGAATCGTGGGTGCGCAAGCATTCGCTGTTCGCACTGCCTGATACCGCTATTGTAAGCTCATAAAGTCGTGCAAAATCAGGACAAATGAAGTCAATTTTATTGCTGCTTCCCCAGAGTTATCACAGTCCCATAGTTGATCACCATTAAAGAATCGTAATCGCTGCCTTGTGCTTTATGCTACAAGAACATTTCCCCAATTTTGGAAAGTATCTCAGTGCATGGCTTATTTTCAGTGGCTTCCCAGTGCCACGAGACTTTTTAACCTCATTTGGCCGAATGCCAAAAGTTGAACATTGTTTACTTACTGTCAGCTCCTTCGAACTGCTTCGTCGTACACTTTCCGTCTGTGATGGCGTGAAGTCCGTGAGTGGAGATGCCGACTGGTCGATCACATGGGTGTTATTTGCACGTGCCACAGCTGAAATTATAGCCTTGAGTGTTCTACGCAGCAGCAAATCCCTTGGCCCTTGGCCGCACAGTGTCAGTGCAAGACCGACAACGCCAGGAAGGCTGTCTATCAGTGAAGCTACCGTGGCGACAGAAGCTTTGAGAGATGTTCTAAGAGAGATTTCACACAGTTTCAAGCACGGTCAACCGTCGCGTTCGCACTTTTCCAAGAATTTTGCGACCCCCACAAACACATCAGCCTTGGAGGGTTCCCCGTAGACCACCGACCACCATCGTCATCATGACTGCTTCTATGGTGTGATTCCTAGTCGACACAGCCCAACTTTCCGCCCACTTTCCTCTGGAACGGCCGTCGAGCGGAGGAGGGGGAGGGATAGGGAGGCTAACGATCCTCTCCCGAAACTACAACCTTCCATAAACACTCTTCCAAGCATGGCTTACCTTACTCAACCCTTCAACCCCCTTCCCCCCAAAAAAAGATCACGGATGCGACCCCCTCGTTCGAATAGTGCGAAGGGACGGTTAACCCTGGTTTCAAGGCGTCAAAACTTTGTAAGATCTCGAAACCTTTTGAGTGTCGAGAATGAAACTCGACCCTGAGTACGACTTGACTACATGAAAGTATTATAGAAGAAACACGACTTTTATTTGATTCTTTTTTCAAAAACAGGGCATTCCCGAGAGTAGGTTCACTTGGTTCCTGCTTTGTGGTTCTTTTGAGATAGGTTGTGAAGAGCGACTTGTTAATGCTTTCCTTTCCTCGTATGTTCTGCAGTGTCATGCAAGACGGGACTCAATTATCGTGGCAAAAAGGGTAACTTAAGGCTTACAAGGGCACGGTAGTCGATATCTGCAGCATCTCAAAAAAGTAGGACCATTTTTAATTTGGTAAGGGAATTCTATGGTGCCTTTCGAAGTGAATATGAGCATCAGAGCATCGGGGGAGTCTTCCGAGAGCCAGCCGAGACGAATCCATAACGCTTCGTCCGAACAGGGACTCAAGGTTGCTGATCTGATGACGCGCAGGAATATCCAAGTCCTATGCCTTCAGGAGACGCGATGGAAAGGTGCTAAGGCCAGGGAAATCGGGGAAGGTGTCAAGCTCTACTACAATGGAGAAGACACCAAGCGGAACGAGTTGGC